TTTTGAGAGAGACAGAGTGTGAGCAGGGGAGAGGTAGACAAAGAATCCGAAGCAGGCTCCAGGCTCTGAGCTGTCAGCACAGAGCCCAACGCGGGGCTCGAACCCACAAACTGTGAGATCATGACATGAGCCGAAGTCGGACGCTTAACCGACAGTGCCACCCAGGCGCCCCCACATACCATTTTAAACACCTTTACCTCTATGAATCCGTAACAATCCTATGAGATGGGTATTCTTTTTTTTTTTTTCCAGAAAACCAGAACAATCTCTTTCTCCATCCATGCTGTCATACCAAGCCCCTCTTTAGTAGACTGAACTATAAGAAATCGGCATGTTTTCATAGCGTCAAAGATATTTGAATATTGGTTCAACTTCATGAAGACATTTCTACCAAGGGCTTCAAAACACAGAGAAGCAAAATCCTCAGGGCCTTCTGACCTAATTCGCTAGGTCACGTGGTTCTTATGTATGTCCCAAATGACACCTGGGTGACCTTGAGGTGGGTGTTCTTACTATAGACGAGGATCAAAGCGGAGAAGGACTAACTAACTTGCCCCAGCTCTCGTACCTACTAAGCAGCAGGGTGGGTTTCGAACTCAGACCATCTGGCTCTTTTTTTTTTTAATTTTTTTTTTCAACGTTTATTTATTTTTGGGACAGAGAGAGACAGAGCATGAACGGGGGAGGGGCAGAGAGACAGGGAGACACAGAATCGGAAACAGGCTCCAGGCTCTGAGCCATCAGCCCAGAGCCCGACGCGGGGCTCGAACTCCCGGACCGCGAGATCGTGACCTGGCTGAAGTCGGACGCTTAACCGACTGCGCCACCCAGGCGCCCCTCAGACCATCTGGCTCTTAACGCTCTTCGCCACCATAGTCTGCTGTTTCTGCTACACAGCCATACTTCATTATTCCCAATCATGTTCCAGTCTGTCGTGTGTGTTGATCCTGTATATCCCCCCAAATTATACTGGCCTCAACAGCACAAAATGCATTCGTATTTTCTTTGTGTTTTGCTCTGGCCGATTGTTTTTTTCAAATGCCTTTTGATTTCACTTGACCAGGACGATGTGTATGAGTAAACACATTTCACGCAGCTCCCCTACCCTTCATCAGGAAACCAGCCAAAGTCTGGCTCCCCAAGAGCAAGCCCAGTATCAACCAAAGCTGCCGCAAGCTGGCAGCCCCACGCAGTTGAGGACGGGAGTCTGCCTTCGTGCCTCTCACGACGGCAAACACCACAAGCTTGCGTTACACACACCCTAGGCTGATGGCTGGAATACACACGTATTAAGTTACATCAGTTTCCCCCTTTGGTTCCATGTGGGTTTACCCAAACAGCTGGCTTGGAGCCTATCCGTTCACTTAAATTAGTTCTAGTGTTCCACACTTTTGATTTACTGACAAAGCGCTCTCTTTATCTACTTGGGGCATAAGAGTTTTGTCTGGGCAGAAACTGCGGTCGGTACAATTGGGCCAGTTAGGTCACTTAGCATTTCCATGTGGGGCACTGACTAGAGAGAAAGGTCTTTTAATTCCCAATTAGTCCATATCGGCAAAGGAAATGTATTTTCCATTATTTCTTTACTCCGGGTTCTGATTCATAAAATATCTTCAGGAAAACACATTTTACGTTGCCGAGTCTTTGATTTCCCAGGGAAACTAATAAATAATCAACAAAAATATGATTAAAGACTGCTTGAACTACCATCCGAACAGGGACTCTAGCCAGCAAAGAATCTTTCTGATCCACATCTTTTTATTCCTAGAAACAGAATTCTTACTTAGCCTTTCAAAAGCCTGATGAAGGCTTCAGCTAAGTTTTGACATAAGATTTTCATATTCAAAATATCTGTTGAAATAAGGGAAGAAAGGATATGGATCTTGAAACTGCATTAGTCTGAAATAGAGCTTAGTAAGCTAGAAAGGGAAATTACTTCTCTGTAATTGGAATTCTCTCCTAAAAAATCCCTTTGAAATCATGTTCAGCTACTTTCCCATTATGTGTCCCAGAGAAGCCAACTTTAACCCTTTCTGGAATTATCCATCATAAAAATTATTTGATATTTATAAATTGCTCTGGGAAGAGATTCCTGCGCAGTGGTTGGTGTCATCAAAGAACTTCATAATGAATGAGGAGTTCCCAAGAGTCACAGACATAGCTGAAAAAATGTTTTCTGGGACGTCTCCTCCCACTCGCACACTGATGCTTACATCTATCCATCACATTTATCTTGGCCGCACAGTCCTAAGGCAGATGCCAGGAAACTCCTCCATTTGAGATCCTTTACCTTTGAAATGACAACTAAATTGTGCTCCAACCCAGTTCTTTAAGCTCTTTGAAGGCAAGGATTGGGTTTGATCCTTCCTTGTATCATCAATGCTAATACACGGTAGTTGCTTGATAAATGCTTCATGAATCATGAGTGAACGAATGGGGGCTAGCAAGGTAAGCATAGCACGTGCCTCACCTTCTATTCCCTTCCGGTTTTCTTACCTGTGAAAGGATAATAATATCTTCCTCCAAGAACTCTCATGAGGATTAAATGCGATACTACAAGTAATACTACTTAGGACACAGCTGTATTACATAGCTAATAATATAACTAATGCAATAATTATATACACGGTTTGTATATCAATAAAATACTAAGCCAAGTCCTAAGAAGGCCATTGAAAAATGGGATGGAAGAAAGTTCTCCTCCCTTTTACATCGACCTTGATGTGAAGACAAGGAAGCTGGTGATGCCTGGAGATACCCCATAATGCTATGGTGTTCCACTGAATTTCCATGTCATCAGACTACATAGCTTCATCACGGTAGAGTCAGCACCTAATATCAAAACCAAAAGAGGGGTCATCTGGCCTATGGGATGGGACCTTCTCATTGTAGGTGTGACATATCCTGTGTTGTATCTGTCTTCTTTTGTTAAGTAGATTCATTAAATGGCACGCGGTGCCTAACACGGTTGTTTCATAATCTTGATAGTTATACCCTACTCCCATGGGTCCCTTAGCTCAGAGTAATAATGAGCAACATCAACTTAAGTCTGATTCAGGAGACGGTAATATCCACAGAATAACCCAACATGGGAAATTCTGCCTTACTTGTGAAAATTTTAAGAGTGTTTTCCCTAAAGATGGAATGTGCTAAGTAAAGCTCATTAAGTGTTTTCTCAGCCTATTTGTTGATTATCACTTTTATTTTTATTTATTTTTCTTAATCATTATTTTAAAGGCTACAACACAATAATAATGATCTATTACTTGGAGTCAAAAGTAAAATCAGATTTGGTACGATGTCTTTTGTGTTTCAACACAAAACTCTGGAGGGGAGTCTCTAAAAACTATGAAGTGTTATACAAATATAAGGTAGTATATGAGTCATGTAAGATGACCTTATTTTATCCTATCAAGAATTAAGGTACAGAGGCCATTCTCTGTTTCAGAGTAATATCGCTTAATGTTCTCTGAGAAATTATATTCTTTCTAAGGAAGTAATAACATTAACCATGGCACCCACTAAAGAGATGTCAGAATATAAAATGTAAAATGACTTCAGATAATTTTTTTATAGCAAGGCTCTCAAACATAGGATGGACAGGGCAGGGGAAGGGGGAGAGAAGACAAGACAGAGAGTCCTCTTTTTAAAAATCTGAACTATTTCTATCATATTTCCCAGGACAGTATCTCCACAGAAAATTCTACATGGAGATGTAAGGCCAGGGAAACGCAACACCAAGAAAATCAACATAAAATTCAATTCTCTACTGTAGGCTTAAGGGTTAATTGAATGTAAGTGGGTGAAAACAGATGGCAATTGATGTCAATAAATGACCTTATTTTTGTTCAAGCATAGTAACCAATGTTGGCTAGATCCTATCTTCCCATATATCCACATCTAGGACCTCACGATCCTATCTGGGGACCAAGCCAACAGCTCTTGGAAGAGCCTTCTCTCACCAATGTCTGCCTGCTGGCTTCAGTAGTTGGCCAGCAACTCTTCAGGGTGGGCAGTCCCAAGTCGGTCTCAAAGCCTTCCTCCAGATTTGATAAAAGGCAGGAAAAGACACCACATTCCCTTTAGTTTTTTCCTAGCATTCCATAAGGAGTCACCACTGGAAAGCCCAGGCCTGTGTATCTCATGGTATTTCTTCCTTCCTCCAGGGTCCAGCCAAGGCTGTGCGTAAAATGGTAGGACGGCTGGCTTTCCACATGAGAGCTGCCCAAGGGAGAATGCACCAAGGTGAGCCCACTTGCTTCCTGAGCAAAGTCAACCCAACCCTATGTTTACTTTGCCCCCAAACCAGTTGCTATGCAGGTAACCTTCTTCAAACACTTCACAGACCTTAGAGAAGAACTGAAAGTGTAATTACTCTTACAATAAACATGGAAAAAAGTATCAGGTTCCCAGAACGAAACTCCCTAAAGTCTAATTCGGCATCTTATTGTCTGAGTTAGCTGAGGCTAGAAATGGCAGTCAAGGTACACGGTGTGCCTAAGACAAACCTGACATATGTGTGTGAAGGCATGGAATAAGGAATAATCACGTTTCCTACCTTCAAGGAGCTTCCAATACGATGTCATAAACAAAAAGAGAAAATTAAGTCAACATAAATACAACGTATAATTACAAAAGTGCTAAGAAGAAGAGCATTTCAGAGACTGAATGCATGGGAGTGAGTAGACTGAATCATGAACGATATTTTGCAAGCTCTCCGTTAGATCACAGTTTCAAGGCCAATTAGTTTTTTCCCAGGCCTCTGGGTCCCCTCTGGCAATTAAGGATGCTACATCTTAGCCTGCCCTCTATCTGAGGATATGACAGAGAAAGGACGGAGAGGTGCCCAGGTCAATGGCTTTGAGCAATTCCCCACACAGGGAGCCACTGTCACCAAACTGGGGTGTCCACTCTCGGTTGACAAGCAGAGCATGCTATAATGCTCATTCATTTGTCCATCAAGCAGGTACTGATGCCCATGCGTCAGGCACTGGGCCAGGCCTGGGTGATCTCTGTGCCCCTGCTCTCAGGAGGGAAGGTTTCATTTAGAGCAGGGTATGTAGGATAAATCAACAGAAAAACGAATAGGAATTTCAGATACAACTGGGTGCTCCGAAGAGAAAACAACAGGATGTCGCAACGATCTGTGCAGAGGATGGAGAGTAATTTTACTGAAGGTAGTCAGGGAGGACCTAAGGTGACATATGAATGACAAAAATGTGGAGGTCAGAAGGGCAGAGCACATCAGGCCAAGGGAGGAGCAAACCCAGAGGCCTGGAGACAAACACACAGTTTACAAACTGGAGGAACAGAACAGAGGCCACTGTAGCAAGACGAAGGAGGGGTGGGCAGGAACCACGTGCTGGTAAGGAGACTGGTTTTGTTCTAGATGTGACAGAGAAGCAGGGAAATGACATGATCTCACGTAAGGTATTGTTGTTGTTGTTTTTACTTAAATCCGTGCTAGTTAACATATAGTGTAATAACGATTTCAGGAGTAGAATTTAGTGATCCATCATTTTTAATTAAACAGATTTTGGGTAACAGCTTTATTGAGATAGATCTCAAATTCTATATGATTTACCCATGGAAAGAGTATACTTGTGTGACTTTTAGTATATTCCTTTCTGCCCACTCCAGCCTGACCCCCACGAATGTAACTTCCGTCTCAACTAATTTGCCTATTCTGAGAATTTTACGTAAATGTTATCATAGTATGTGGTGCTTTGTGACTGGCTTCTTTCACCTACCGTGTTTTCAATATTCATATTGTAGCACGTATCAATGCTTCATTTTTTTACTGCCAAATAATATTCCACTGTATGGATATACCACATGTTGATAATCCACTCAATTTCATGGGCATCTGGGTTGGTTCCATTTCTGGCTTTTAGGAGTAACGCTGCTGTGAACATGTCTATATAAGTTCTGTGTAGATACGTGTTCTCATTTCTCTTGGGTAACCAGGAGTGGAACTGCTGGATCATTCTAGTCCTTTCAAGAACTTCTAAACTGTTTCCCAAAGAGCTTACACCATTTTACATCCCTACCAACAATGTACGAAGGCTCTAATTTTTCCCTATCATCATCAGCACTTGCTCTTGTCTTTATGATGAACACGTTTTTATTTTTATTAAAAAATTTTTTTTAATGTTTATTTATCTTTGAGAGAGAGAGAGAGAGAGAGAGAGAGAGAGAGAGAGACAGACAGAGTGTGAGCAGGGGAGGGGCAGAGAGAGAGGGAGACACAGAATCTGAAGCAGGCTTCAGGCTCCGAGCTGTCAGCACAGAGCCCGATGCGGGGCTCAAACTCACAAACTGCGAGATCGTGACCTGAGCCGAAGTCAGACACTCAACCGACTGAGCCACCCAGGCAGGTGCCCTGGGCATGTTTTTAAAAGATAAGAATTTAAGTATCACTGCTTTTAAAAATAACTATAAAAGTCATTGCTTATTAAGAGTTTTGAAGATCTGAAGTGCTTCTGGAATTCTAAAGGGTAATGTGACATTCAGGAGAAGTAGAGATCTCTCTCCAAGAACCGCCACCATGCGACAAATAAGGATGAAGAGGCTAGAAGTAGACTCCATATCTTTGCTTAGAATTTGTTAAGAAGGCACCTAGCTTCATAACCAGATAAAGAGACTACCGTACTCCTGTCAGAGTTTTCTCCCAGTCTCCTTCCACTTGTTGGTTTTTAGGTGGCAAAAAGCAAGCATTCGAGTAGAAATGTGTTGTCTTTCCCCTGCAGTGTTTGGAACACAATGTTACCCATCACATGGCCCAAAGGAAGCCCTTTCTGGTGCTAAAGCCTCCTGGGGTAGGAAGGCTGAGTTTGACACTGGCAGCTTGCCTGCTGTCTGAGAGCACAACCCCGGGATCTCATGCCAAAAGGCAAGTTCCCAAGGGGTGCCGGGAAGGAGTGAGTCCTGGGCAACCAGTTCAGCGGTCTTAAAGCCATAAAGTACAACGGGCAGATTAACACGCTCGCCCAACTCCACCCTCATCGCTTCACAGACCCATGAGAAGCAGAGCACGAGCACGAAATCCAGTGAACTTCACACCTGAGTCCTATCTTACGCTTGTGGGGCAGGCAAATCAAATCCTGAAGTCGCCCGAGAAGGCAAAAATTATGCAGAGTCAAAACTACGCTCAAAAACTCTGAGGGCCTGAGATTCTGCAGTCTTTAAAAAATTTAGTTTAGGGGCGCCTGGGTGGCGCAGTTGGTTAAGCGTCCGACTTCAGCCAGGTCACGATCTCGTGGTCTGTGAGTTCGAGCCCCGCGTCAGGCTCTGGGCTGATGGCTCAGAGCCTGGAGCCTGTTTCCGATTCTGTGTCTCCCTCTCTCTCTGCCCCTCTCCCGTTCATGTTCTGTCTCTCTCTGTCCCAAAAATAAATAAACGTTGAAAAAAAAATTAAAAAAAAAAATTTAGTTTAGAGACAGAGAGGGAGAGCAAGGCAGAAGGAGGGAAGGACAGAATCTCAAGCAGGATCCACACTTAGCACGGAGCTGGCCAGGGAGCTCAATCCCACAACCTGGGGGTGACGACCCGAGCCAAAATCAAGAGTCAAACGCCCCGCTGACTGAGCACCCAGGCACCCACATTTTCGAGTAAGTCCAACCCAGCTAGGTTTTCTTCCGTCACTGGAAGAGATCTATTTTTTTCAGGGAAACACTAAATGATCAGTTAAGCACCAAACAGTCGCCTTATGGCCTAGGGCCATATTGCGAACAAAGCGCCTTGGAGGTATAGAATGACACTCAGAGTAGGAAGAAATTCACCCTCAGAAGAGGTGGGCACAGCTTCCTGACTCTGTCTCACATCTACTCCAGGGCAAATGCTCATGGAAGGGAACAGCAAGGAAAGAACTATTTGAATTGCTATCTCTATTTCTCTCTCTCTCTCTCTCTCTCATTTAATGTAAGCTAGTTAAAAATATGTATGATGCAATTCACTGGAATTAGTTTCAGAAGCCCAAAGCTTAGACAGAAGTCATCTTTGTCATGGATCCTAAAGGGAGGGATTCAACTGCCAAAGGGCTGAAAGATCACCGGGTTCAGAAATCGAATTCCAGAGACCAGAAAACACCTTGCGGTGGTCGATGCCACAAGTGGAAGGCTATTTAGATCGTATCTGGTTTAAACCCCTCATTTCGGAGTTGAGTAAAATGGGATCCAAAGATACTTAGTGACTCATCCAAGGTCACAAGGCTGATAAGCAGCCCAGCCCAGCCCAGGGTACCCGCTGACTGCCTTCTGTTTTCTGTTGTTACAAATCCTGCTGAATCAAAGAAAGATCGCTCGGAGGTCAAAGTATACCTGGTTCCAGCTTCACTATTCATCGCACATTACAGCAATTAAAATGCAATATATGAGTGACTACTGCTGTGCTTTAATCATATTGTGCTGTCTGCAACATGCTGATGGACATGTGTTGCGGAAAATCAAATAAAACCACAGGGTTGGGTTGTCGCTGGCTCTGTTTCTTTAATTTACGTAGGTCTCAGCTCGCCTTTGGGGAATTTAGAGACCAAAGCAAACCTGTCCCCTGGAGACACTGTGGAAACAGTTCTTAAAGCGGAGTTATGGTCTTTGTGGTCGCAGTCACTTATAATCAGAGAAATCAGAATGTTAGCATGGTTCCGTAGAATTACACAGCAAATGTAGTTGGGTCAGAATCCCCCTTAGCAGCCCCAGGAATCACCAGTAGCTGAGAATAATAATCACAACCTAAGATCTGACTTGGGCCCAAAAAGCTAGGAGGATTTTTCCCCCCTTACAAATATATCTGTCCTCCATTCTCTACCCCAACCCCCCCTCCTTTTCTCTGAAATCTGAGTAGGACTCCTCTGCCTGGTGACCTGTTAGAATATACTTGCTTGTTTGCTTTCTCCTGTGTTTTTCTTAATGCAATAACTTGAAATGTCAACACGGGGTGACAAGTAAATCCTCAGCCAAAATAAGTTTGCAAGCGGACAGGAGGGAGAAAAGAAGCAGAAAGTGGAGAGCTGGTCACGGAGGCTGTTGAGTGGTGGCCAAATCCACGGCCCAAGCATAAATAGAGCACAGCATTTATCATCATACCAGATCACTCCTGTTCTCTGTTTCAGCTGGCTGCATTCTGGATCTTTCCCTTTTGCGACTCACCGTTTGCTCTGGCTTTACAGCTACCGCAACAAACAGGTGAAGAGAGATCATGGCATGCTGTCTGCACATAGACTCTGGCTTCATTACTCAAAGCCAGAGAGGTACCCATGGGAAGGATATCTGAATGGTCAGAGGAGGAAAAAGAATGTGTGCTGTTTGTCTGTTTGTTTTTTAAATTTCCCTGTGAGGTAGAAACTTAGCCAATTAATGATACCCTCTGTGATGCAGACAGGAGAGAACCCAGACTCTCCGGTTCTAACGTGTCACACAGTTTGGGAGAACCCATTTTTGGCACAGTCTAAATGAAAGAAGAAAGGACGGTCAGTCAGGCTGCAGATCACAAGGGAGGGGACAACCCCCGAGCAGCCAGCAACTGGCTGCTTTTGTGGGGTCTCGGGCAACAGTTCCCGGACTACACCAAGTGTCCTCAAAGCAAAAATGTGCCCAGGGCCACACCGTGGACATGTCACCATTGTAAGCAGTGTCCCTGCTTTCTCCATAAATTCTACCCCTTTCTTCCTGGCTCTGGCTATGTTGGCCCTCTGGCAGCCTGTCTCCATAGGACCCAAGCTGAGAGGGATGAGTTACAAACCCAAATCCCAGTGTTTGTTAAGGGGATTTATGCATTAGGTTCCCTGAAACTTTACCCAGAAAGTCTTCCTCATTCCTCTGCTGGGTTTCCAGAAGAGAGAAATCCCCTCTGCATGTCTCCCTTTGACTCAGTGCTGGATACGGGCACATATAAATCCTGCTAATGGCTTCTGCCCGTGGCTGACAGGTTCTGGTCTTTGGTGAAAGCTGGGTTCTCAAAAACTGCTTTTTGTTTATTTCCGAAGAGGATTTATTGCAGGACTTCTTCGGTAAGCAACAGCACTCGCAGTGATGGCTGTCAACAGCCTTCATTTACTTGGGTGCCCCAAATGGAAGCGATCTAACTCATGCTGTCTGATCTGGGACCCTAAACATCCTACCATTTAGAATTTAAAATCGTCTTGGGTAAAATCTAAGGGCCCTGTTTCGGGAGTTTCCGTTTTTGGAGATGGGAAGACATTACCTTATTAACACATTTCACTCCTGAGATATAGAACTCCTGATTTTCCTTTGGGGACTTCCACTACCTGGAGGTTGGCGGGGGCGGGGGGCAGAGGGAGTAGGGAGGGCACTTGGGGACTAACTGATTTAAGATAATCAGAATATGCCTTACCTCCTGGTTGTAGGGACTGCTTCAGGGATGGACACATAATTCATTCAGACTAAGGAGGCATGGCAAGAATCTGAGGCTTCTGAGAAAAAGAAGTGAACTTCTTCTCTTACGGGATTAGTGGCGTGATGGGAGACGTGAAGTCTGGAGCCACAACCGTCTTGGAACCAGAAGAGGCTAAAGCTCCCAGCAGCTGGGAAGAATGGAACCAACTAAGAAGAACCTAAGAGCAGAGAGATGGGGCTCGGTGATATGGTTATTCCCTTGATTCAGCTAGGCATGAAGCCAGTTACCATGTAGTGTTCCTTTCTTTTTTTTTTTTTTTTAAATTAAAGAAAAATTTTTTCTTAGAGAGAGAGAGAGAGAGAGAGCAGGGGAGAAGAACAGAGAGAGGGAGAGAGAGAATCTTAAGCAGGCTCCACACTCAGCACAGAGCCCAACGAGGGGCTCGATCCACGACCCTGGGATGATGACCTGAGCCGAAATCAAGAGTTTGGTCGCTCAGCTGACTGCACCCCCCAGGTGCCCACCATGTACTTTTCAATTACATGAACCAATACATTCTTTTTACTTAAAGTCTGTGTGGGTCGGGTTTCTTGTCTCTTGCAACTGGAAAAATAGTAATTGATACCCAAATTCAGTAAGTAGCCTCCAGTGTATTTATCAAGTCTCCGACCTGGAGTCCTACCTTCTCTCATAGAACATGGAAACACAGTATTATAACAATCTTGACATCTTCAACAGCGATGCTGGCAGAGGTCCGTTAACGTGCCTCCTTCTTGTAACCTGAAGCACCACCCTTGCTCTACCAATCAATCAGGAACCCTGCTCCTGTGTCTTTAACTTCCCTCACCACGGCTTTCTGCCCTTGGCATACACACATGCTCTTGACATTCCCGTCTTATGAAATGTCCTCCTTCACTCATCCGCCATTTTAGCTGTCACCCTATAACTCTATCTTCTTTCTCAGTCAAGCTCTCGGAAGTAGTCTATACCAACCCTTTCCAATGCCACGGTTCTGCAGATAGTTACATAAAAAAAGGGTATACAATCAAATATATTGTGGGACATGCTCTAGGTGGTAGCTTCCTTTTGGACAGTAACAATTAATGTGAGAGTATTAGAAGCTCTAGGAGTTCTTACGGAGATGAAGACTATTCAATTTTATTTAAGCCAATGTTTCCCAAACTTATTTGACCATGGAAACCACCCCCTTTTTAATTCTGCTTCAAATGATTTAACATTCCAAGGATCTAGAGTTCTGAGGATCTGCTTAAAATTATTTAATATCCCGAAGATCTAGAGTTCTGAAAGGATAGTTATATGCAATGCCTTTGTCTCTCATTGATCCGCTTGAAGTTCTTATTAATTGTTACGAAACTTTTTAAATACCAAAGGTATACAGCATAATATAACACACTTGCAGCTATCACCAACTTTGCCAAATCTTAATGAAAAAGAGCTAAACCGAACACGGCAACAAGTTTACAGTTTCCAACTGTTCTGTTTTTCTTGTGCCTTTTTATCTTAACACACATACCCCATCTCTCCTACCCCCACTGTTCTTTGCCTGGAGAAATCCTACTCCCAGTCAAGACTCAGCTCAACTCTCACCTCCTCCAGGAAACCTTTCCTGCACAGAGCCCGACGCGGGGCTCGAACTCGTGAACCGCGAGATCATGACCTGAGCCGAAATCAAGAGCAGGATGCTTAACCCAACTGAGCTACCCAGACACGCCAATAACTTACTGTTTCTCGAATGATGAATGTTGCGGGGGCTTCATGGTGGGTCTTCCCTGGGCTTAACAGAAGTGTACAAGTCAGTCACCACATTTCTTGACCACTATGTTGCCCGGACTTCTATACGTTTTACCCAGTCACTATCTTTCCTCTTAGGATGCTGTCTCCATTTTCATTTTTCCCTTTCCAAGCAAGTGAGTCAGCTAGGATACACTCTGCTTTGAGTAGCAGAAAACTAACTCTCAAAAGGGTAAGCCATCTAAGAGGTCTGGAAGTGAAAGGCTTTGAGGCTGGCCATCATGGATCCAGGCTTTCTTTCCATTTGTTCTACCAGCATCAGTGCACTAGCTTTTGCCCTCATACGTGTCATGTCATGGTTGAAAGCTGCCTGCACAGCTCCAGAATCCTGCCCCCACCCCCCCCCCACCCCCGACTGTGAGCCACAGTAGGATGCCTTCATGAGGCTGGTCTTTTTATCAGGAAGAAAATCCCTTCTAGAAGCTCCTAGCTCACATGGCCTTATGTCTCACAGATGTCAGAACTTGTGTCACGCACCCCTTCTTCCCGGCCCCCACCCGAGCTTGCCAGGGAGGCTGAGAAAAGTGAGCATCTAGCCCAGAGGAATAGAAACACCTTGGTTGGCTTAACCCAACTGTGATTCACCACGTGTGTCTGCAAGAGGGGCCAACCTCCCTGAAATCAAGGGGCTGAGCCCAGTTGGGATTCTCTTAGCGGGGATGAAGAAGGCAGGGTAGAGACAAGATTGGCTGTTGGGTGGACAACACCGTGTGCCTGCCAGGATAGCATCGGTATGGTGGTCAGGGCTGTGGAACCAAAAGATTCGAGTTTCTAGAATGAGGCGTCTCACTAGCCAACCACAGGCCCTTGGCCGGCTCCTGGTGATCTCTGAGTTCAGTGTTCCTTGGTCTAACAGGAGGAGGATTCCTCAGTGTATCGTGTGAGCTGATTAATGACTTTTAAAACAGAAAAAAAAAAAAAAAAGCTTCTCTTCATCCAACTTCTTAAGTCAGGTATCTCTTGACATTTCTTAATGCAGGAAAACAGTGGTCCATGCATTCGTCTGACAGTCACTGTGCCTCTCCCTTGGGGCACCTTGGGGCACAGAGACAGTTAAGACAACCTCTTCCCTCAAAAGGCTCACTGTCTGGTGAACAAGACGGACATTTACACAAACAGCTACGCTGGACGTGACAAGTGCAATAGTTAAGATCTGTAGAAAGTGCCAGGGACCAGGGAAGGAGGTCAATTTGCTGGGCGGGGGGAAGGATGCCAAGGGGGCCGCCACACACGGCCGTGTAGGCGGGTCCTGCACATCTTGCGTTTGTGGACGCCCTGGCTACCGAGTCCAGAAGCCCTCTGAAGGGAGGAAACATTGGCAGAGGAAGCAGAGGAAGGCTACAGGTAGGACAAGGTGAAGAAGAGTCCCTGGAGAGAGAAGGGGGAAAAAAAAGTACAATCGATGGAAAATTCAGGATGTAGTCGACGCTGTGGAGCAGACCTACTATTGAGGGAAAGGGGTGGTGGAAGGGGGCACGTAACGGAAAGGAGGCTGAAAGTCAGGTAAGGCTTTTAAAAACCTGAGCCTTATCCTTTAGCTGGCAATGGAGAGTCAATGAAAATTTAAAAACATTAACAGTAACTCATTCCTTCAAAGGTTAGAGAGGCCAATCCCATTTGCAAATTAAGTAACTCCTAAATTGCAGGAGTCCTAAATTACTACCAACTCTTACTTAATAAACAAAGAAGGTATTATAACGTTCGGGAAACAACTGTCAACTGCGCTTCTAAGTTTTTAAGAAAGTTACGAGGAAATGAATACCTGTATTTTGTCCTTCCATAAAACTGAACAGGTTAGGGATATATCCCATAAATCCTACAATTATTTCAAGCACAAGGCGTAGCTTTACTGCATTATCGCTTTTAAATAACACATCACCAGATTCTGGTTCCCAAAACCACTTTGGGGAAAAATGCTTTCCTAAGTGACATCACCCCATTTTCCATATAAAATGAAAAAAAATAAAGGCTCATATTCAGAAGTGGCAGGCTACAAAAGGAGGTTTGGTGTACCTTAACAGCCTACTATGGAACCCCCTACTGCCCTGAGAGAAACAAAGAAATAAATTAAAAATATAAAAAAAAAAAAAAAACCCAAATACACATAGTTGAGCTTAAAAGAGGTGGGCTGGTTTTCCCCTTATCCATTAATAAAATAAATCACGGTATTTCATATTCGCAGTCATCTCTGAAAGTTCTCCTCTTAATTGCCCCATGGCATCATGTTTTATTTTAGTAAAGTTCAGATTTTATTGCTAGGGACTAATGGGCATAGAGTCCCTGAAGAACTTGTTTTAAAACATTGACCAGTCAACCATAAAAGGGATATTAAAACAGCTACAGAGGCTAAATAAGAATTAAAAAGTATAGCCACTTATTTTTAAATTAGAATCCTCTTTCACATTTAGGAATATAATAAAATGTGTCATAAACTTTCTACTTTCATTCCAAAGTATTGTTGTAAGGATCAACGGTAATGCAGATACGATCCTGCTACGGTTAAGCAGCACTCATTAAAATCAAGTGCTGTTTTTAAGCATTATGAGAGGCATTTTAAAATTATAAATGATTACAAAGTTATAAAAGCCTTCCGAGGAGAGAAACAGAAAAGGAGAAACAGGGGAAGGATCTAATGAACGAGGCGGTTGATAAACTCATACATAGCATCAGTAGGTCAAAATTCACAAGGCCAACAGGGTCAAGTCCTGGTACAGTTCTGAGATTTGTATGGATCACTGTTGCGTCATTTTGTGTCCTGCCCCCCAGTCTTGGGATCTTTTTCATAACCACGTAACACCTTTCACTTTACGGATACGCCAAATTCTTTCCAAAGTTTTGGTATCAACGATTAGCAAAGACGCCCCATTTTGTAAGTGGGAAACCGGCCAGGAGAGAATCGATCTCCTAGCCTCGCCTCCAGTTCAACCTGAGTGGGGCACACAGATCCCCAGTGCCCTGATAAGGGGTTACAGTCCTTCTCTTCTTCCAGTGGCCGAGAAGAGGGCAAGGATTGTTCACTCAGGAGGAACAGTGGCTGCGCAGGGCGGGACCGCACACAGAACGTGGAAACGGCTCTTTTAGGCTTCCTTCTGAAATAGGGCACTAGGCGCACAGAGGGAAGATGGCTTTTCCCAACAGAAGCACTCTCTTGGCCAAATAGGACAGACACAGGATGTTCAACCGAAAGGAACAATCTTTTAGTATACACGATCTCTGAAAAGACTCGGAAACAGAGATCTCAGCAGAGATCCAGGTTGGTGCCAGAAAGGGGGCGGCGGGGCGGGGTGGGGGAGGGCAGTTTCAGGAGCAGGATGGCAAAGAGGCCCAGAAGCTACCTCATTTCTAATTCTGCAGCACCTTCCGTTCCTCTCGACAGCTTTAAATAAAGGCATCTTGAACTGGTTTAGATTAGCCCCCACCAGGCACATTTGTAAAGATAAAAAGAACACGCTTGTTTTCCTTCCTCTGAAAGGGGGCAGGGAAGAGAGAGCAGGAACGTTCAGCCGGGCCTTACGGAGGAGAGAAAACAAGAGTCAAGTGTGTTCTTATCCCTGTGTTGAAAAAAAAAAAAAAAAAGAAAGAAAGAAAAAAACAACCCAGGCCATGTTGCTTTGAAACTTCTGACTCTCAAACTTCTGGTCCTCCTTTTACCCCTGGGACACAGAGACAGCAAGGAGGAAAAGCAAGGCAGGCAGGAGGTGGGGCCAGGAGCCGGCGGGAGAGGGGGGGAGGGGAGGGGGGAAGTGTGTTTTTCTTCCTCATCCTGTAGTTCAAGGCGGCAACTAGCTTGTGTCAACATTCGGTAGCCCATCTGAACCCTATTTTAGAACAAAACAATTTCAGTTTTAAAGTGTTTGAATGACTTTAGCTAAATCTGAGGATTTGCCTATTGAATCTGGAGCTGTTCCCTTTCAACTCTGAATGAAGGAAGAATTACGAGGCTAGAGTCATTCAGTGAGGGCTGTCTGTCCTGGCACTCAATCAAAGGGATGAGGATTTGGAAAGAAAAGCCTACAGGTGATCCTCCAGGAAGCACACCAAGCAGTTATCAAAAACATACAAGTTCAAAGCAGCTCAATTTTCATATGTTAAATGTACTTGGATGCAGCCCCGGGCTCCTTTCTAGGTAAAAAATTGTGTGAAAGCTGTTTGTACTTGCATACTTAGCAGACAAGGGAATAACAAAGCATGTGGTACAGCGGTGCCTGTGCTGGGTCCACCTCACCCCCATGTAACACAATAAATCAATCTTGTTCTCTCGGTGAAACACAATCTGATGCTGTGTCCGGGCTTCCCAGACCCGTCCCTGACTCCTCGCATCGTGGCGGATATTCATTTAGTTCACCAGGGCGAAAGGGCCGTCACAACACAAATGCCGTGGGGTCAGGCGCCCGGCATCAGCAGCTTAACAATTAACAGTGAGTGCGATTCACCGGGCTCGGGTGTGATTTTCCCCAACGCCATGGTCTGGGTTTAATGGCGTATTACCTACTTAATAGCTTCACTTGGGCACTTTGGAAAGGAGAAAGAAAGGACACGCACACTGAGATTTAGGTTATAGAAGAGGGTACGTTTGGGGTGGCCTTCCTGTACTAGTGACTCACCAAGTTTCTAATGCCACAGAATTCTGCAGGGCACGCACAGAAGGATACAACTCCCCGTGGTGTGCCCAAGAGAACTCCGAGAAAATTAACGCAGAATTTTTTTTAAGTTTATTTATTTATTTTGAGAGAGAGAGAAAGAGAGCGAGCATGTGCACAAGTGAGGGAGGGGCAGAGAGAGAGGGAGGGAGAGAGAGAGAATCCCAAGCAGGCTCCACACGGGCAGCACAGAGCCCGATGTGGAGTTCGAACCCACGATCCGTGAGATCGTGACCTGAGCTGAAATCAAGAGTAAGATGTTTTTCCATCTTACAGGTAAGCAAACTAAGAATTAAACGAGTAGCTTGCTCACAGCTGGGTAGAGCCCAGATTCAGACCTAGGATGCTGAACACAGGGTCTGTGTTCTTCACGGACCTGATTCTCTCTCCCTATACGTGACTTTCTTGAACCGGAGTTGGCTTTTATGATAACGTGATTACCAGCCTACTGGGCTAGAGCCCCCAGTAACCTCCTCAAATCTACCCCTTCCCTCCTTATTGCTAACCAACTGCCAACTCTTTCCGGCCTGGCGCTCTTTCTGCCAGTGCCCACGTGAGGTTTCGCCACATCTTGCTTTCCCAAGTGCAACAGGCCAGCTTGTGGTTTCTTTTCTCCACGTCTTTGCTCACTCTGTTCCTGAAGCTTGACATACCGCCTGCCTCCTTCGCGCATCACGATCCCCTACATTCTTCCATGTCCAGGTCAAAAGAAGCTTCTCCCCCCCATCTTGACTACTCTCTCGGCTGTGCTCCCAGAGCCGTCAGCCGAATCTTTATTTAGTATGTATTTCATCCTCCTTGGCATTCTATTCCTCCAGACTTCCTCACCCAAAGCCCCCATGAACTAAACCCCAAGTATCATGAGTACTGCGTAGTATTTATTTTCATTTCTGGGGTACCGAGGGCTTCCACGTGTATTTTTCTGAACTTGGAAGAGTGGAAGGCAGGGAGAAAGAGTATCTGAAGATTCTTTCTAGGTCACAGATGCTTGATTCAGGTGATAGCAGACAACAAAAACAAAGGAATAACAACCACCACAACAACAAACCCTAGTATGACACGCGGTAACACTAGGCATCAATGCCAAACTGTCCGGGTTAAAAGTCCTCCTTCTATCGCTTATTAGCGCTATAACCTTGGAAAAGATTCTTAACTTCTCGGCGGGGTGGCGGGGGGTGGGGTCCAATTTCTTTACCGCAAGAATGAGGGATGACAATGCTACCTACCCCGTGAATTTGCCGTAAAGGATTAAACAATGCAGGAAGCGCTTAGAACAGCACTTGGCACATAGCGTCAGATGGATGGCAGGTCTATCGCTACGTGGAGGGAATATTTCCTTTCCTTGCCATCTAAGACATTAGCTTCTTAAAACAGGGACAAAAGAGAAGGAAGCATTATCGTCCATGCTCCCTCTTTGAGAATCCGAGATGAAAAAACTCTAAGAAGTTGAATATTGCAAACTCTGCTAGACTTTTTTTTTTTTTCCTCTCATAGCTCAGCTTAAGGCCCCGACACAAAAGAGCAAAATGCCATAAACCTGGCTCCTCCTGGCTGCTTATTGTCTTGGTGCTGAACGATCAATTTGAAGGCACATTAAGTCATTTAACAGGTCACCAAGTAGCAGAAAGCTAAAAGTTTAACCATATTTACAAGGAAGAATTATATGAAAATATTTTTACTGACACCATAAAAACCACCGTTAAAAATGGCTGCATTGAAATACTGAGCATGTATGGGACAAATGGGCAGCTCTTAAAATACTACCTGGTTCCAGACAGTCCAAATTCTGTGTCTCGTTAGCAAATAAGATAAGTGACTTTGTCTGAAATGATGTTTTATAAATCCTATTAACAGGCTATAAGGGAGGCCGTGGTTCCCAAAACAGGAGAACTAATTTCGGAGTTCAATCCCCATTGTGCCTACAAAAGGTGGGGGGGGGGGGGGGCAGAGGGGAGGGGCTGTTTGCAGACAGATCCGCTCACCACTCTATTTTATACTGTTCAAAATACCTGCACCCTCGTTATCTCACTTGCTCCTCATGACAAGCCCGGGAGGCAGGTTGGGCCAATATTACTACTCCTCGGGTTTTTAACAAGCACAGAGAAAAGTGAAGTGGCTTTGTCGAAGTCAGGTGAACGCAGAACTAGGTGTGACCCCAGGTGGCCCTGTGGCCCTTCCCGCCACGCGTGGGTTGTAAGAGCCAGCGAGTATGACGTACAGGTGGATGCACCCCTGTCTGCACAAACCCACAGGACACTGTCCTTTTCAACTCTGCATCCAGATAAATTATAAGGCACTTGTTGGTTCTTTCACTTTTTTGAAAAATAGAAGTGATACACTCTCACCACCGCATAAAATATCGCACGGCGCTTTGTGTATACTTTTTTTTTTTAAAGAGCAGGACGTACTCCAGTGATGGGTGCAATTTTGTTTTTGCCTTTTCTTGCCAAAAAGAAAGTATGGCTTTAATAGAAGTTTACATCTGCGTGGTATTACATGCATGTAAAACAGATGTAACCTAATTACATTTTCATTTAAATTGCTAAATAGCTACTTAAGTAAAAAGCTAAAATAACATACAAACAACAGTTACTATAATAACAAGTGTACTTAGAATTGAATGAAAAGGATCAAAGCTGCAGCATATAGAATTTGAGTTGGTCTTTCAAAAAGAGAGCGACTTCACAACGCTGCCTTCATGTAACTCAGTAATTTAATGTCTCTCCAGCTCAGCCTAAAGACACAGCTCCACTCGGCCTAGACACATGGAAGGAAATCCATAGAGTTTATATAAAGACTCTGGGTTTCATGAAGATTAGACACACTCTACTAGAGATTATATAGCAAACCCCTAAATTGGAAATTAGAATTCCAGGGCAATACAATCAGCTTGATTATGGTTTTCAGCAGACCTGTCTAGGCTGAAATCAGAAATGGGCTCCCAACCCTGGGATCAGAGCACCCTTTTGGGATTTTTTGCAGAAGACAACAGTACATGTGAGCCATTGCATATTCATGGCCCGTCCCTTCCTGTGTGCCACACAAAGAAAGGCTCGTCAGAAGGATCCAGTGCGTTTGGGACGACGTTCAGCTTTGGAGAAGGGAACGCGTGGCTGCTCTTCACAAAGAAGGCCAAGGCAACCCCATGTTGCCAGGCTGAGATGGCTGAAATCCTCAACGGTATGTTCTGGAAGAACACAGACCAGCTTAACCTAGCCTTGCTGAGTAACGTCCACGGCTAGCTTTCCTTTTGTTGATTCCAATCCCATCTTTCACAAAAGCGGGTGGCCGTGGTTGTTGTTTTAAGCAGTCTGAGAAGAAAACTGGACATTGAGAGCGTTAGCGTGGTATAAAATGATTTCAAAATTACAGCAGTCTATCACCAAAAGCAAAGGCTTTGGTGCTGGAATGCCTCATGAAAATACTCTCACATTCGCTTTCTTCTCTAAACTAGACCAGCCAGTTTTTCTTAATTTTGCAAAGAAGTGTTGAAAATAAAACACTTAGATCCAGCCAGCCCTATTGGATCACGGGTCTGAAACGTTTAAGAGGAATTAAGAAAAAAAGAGAGAGAGAGAGAGAGAGAGAGAGAGAGAGAGAGAGAGAGAGAGAAAGAAAGAAAGAAAGAAAGAAAGAAAGAAAGAAAGAAAGAAAGA